TTTTTTGCAATTGCAACCATGTCAGGCCATGCTAAATGTGAAGAAAGCTTGAAGGCTGGAGTAGAGTCTGGAGAGGCGACTGGCATTTTGGGCCTTTTGGCTTTTAGCCTTTTAGGGTTTTTTTTAGCATGGTTTTGCCTTTTATTTTTAATGTAATCATGTCGGGTTGGGTCGGTTTAGATCGGGTTTGGGTTGTCAACCCGTAACCAACCCGACTACCCAGCCCAAAACCCAAAACCCACCCAAAAAAAAGCAAAAATTGATCAGTTTGGGTCGAGTCGAGCAGTTTACTCGGGTTGGTTTGGGGTTTGACCACTCTTAAATATATATACGTAGAAGAAGAGAATCACTGTAATATACTTCCTTGGGAAGTTTGTATTAAGAATTAGGGTCTAATTCTGTACCACCAAGAGTAATAAACTTGCAGAAAAAGAATAGAAAATGTCCTTATCCACCGATGCTGTAATTCATTATAATGAAAAATGTTTACAAGACAAAATTATACATCATGTTTTATGTAACCTCTTTCTCATCGTAAAGGTCGATATGCATACAGATTCCATACAACAATAATAATTAAACTTCAGAACTTAACAATTTCCAAGAGACTAATCCACCATCAATGGCTCCTGTGTAGTGGCAACAACTTCTCAATCCTCAAAAGATAAGTCTAATTGAAATGGATATTAAAGAATGTTGAGAATACTTTATTATCAAGATCCTCTAGTCAAATCAAGAAGAGAATTATTAAATACGGAACATATCTTAATTCATTGAAAATGATTCTTTAATACTAAATTTTGATTCTAGATCTTTAATTTAGCGTTCTTGACTATAGCTTCTTGACCTTGATGATTTGTTCTTGACTCTTAATTTTTTGTTCTTAATTGTGGGTTTTGGATCTTGTTCTTCAATATACTTTCTCTTGTTATTCTTATGTTGATGGGATGATATAAAGAATGAGAATCACTCATGAATTGGAGACCATAACCCTATATATATTAATAAGTATTTCGGCTCATCATGAAATAAAACCCTAAAGGAATTGGTCTCTATACATATTTAGGTTCATACTTTAATTAGATGCCCAAAGCACATAACTATAATTCTTTAATAGATCATTTAAAATGGGCATGACCTTAAGATAGCCTTTAAGACACACTTAACTACATATGTAGGTCCACATGACAAATTTAAACTCAGCAATCTTCCATTTGTGTCACATATATTACCTTATAAATGTGCATAACCTTATGATGTCAAAATTTGCTATCATAACTAGAAGTATCTCCAAACAATTTTGTCCATTAATTATGTCAATATAAGATTAAAGCAATCTTCGCTGTAAGTATATAACTAAACTCATCAACAATCGTGTATATCAATACAATCAAAGGACATAGATCAAGTATGAATGTGTAGAATGGAAATTATATGTAATATGATCCAAATATGCTTATTTTCAATTGATCTTTCCTTATTCTTTGATGAGATCATACCATAAACTTTTAATCAGAGTGAAATTAAATTGAATATTTTATTTCAGAAATAAACCGAATGTTTATATTCATAAACTGTGTTTGAATCAGATAACAACAACAACCAAATAAAAACTCTCACTAAACTACCATATCATCAAAAGATGCAACATCTATATGAGCGGTATCCTCATGAAAGACCTTGGGCAGTAGTTCTTTAGTAAATGGATCTGCATTCATGGAGTTTGCTCTAATATGCTTTATAGAAACCTAACTACCGTGCACTATTTCCTTAACAACTTGGAACTTAATGTTTATAAACTCTGACATCATCGAGCTCCTGTTAGAACACAAGTCTACTATTGTCACTAAATAATTTAAATGGTCTTTCAATTTCATTCAAAATGTGTAGCCTTGTGACAAAATTCTGCATTATTAGAGTCAGAATATCCAATGATCTTCAATTGATTTCTTGTATGTTATGTAATCATTAGTTCTCTATAATATCGAACAACCCACTTGATTGCTTTACAATTATCCAATCCAGAGTTACTTAAGTATCTGCCCAACATTCCAATAAAAATGCTATAACCGAAAATGTGCAAACCTAAGCATACATTAAATTCTCAAGTACTAAAACAAATAAGATTTTTTGTAGTTGCTTTTCCTTAAATTTATCCTTAGTACATTGATTGAGACTAAACATGTCTCTCTTAGTAATAGCGGTATCACCAGATTTACATTTCTGCATCTTAAATATCTTAATAAGCTAATCGATATAGTTCTTTTGTGATAATTCAAAAATACCCTGAGAACGATCTTGGTGTATTTATATAGTTCTTTCCAAATTTACATTATTGGTGTGATTAATTATTACCTTATACTTGATGTATATTGTTTCTTAATCTTATTCCTCTCTTCCACTTCATGTTTACACTTTGACATTATGTATTGTTTTAATCCACTAACTTTATTGGATTTAATTTCTTTACATGTTGTTGAAAGTCATAGTTTAGGTGGAAAGAAGAGGATTGACCATTGTGCATCTCAAGCTAATGAAAGAAACAAGTCAAGGCGTGTACTATTTGATCCAGGTGATTGGATTTTGGTGTACATATGAAAGAAACGGATTCGAACTCATAGGAGATCTAAATTACATCCTAGGGGAGATGGACCATTCCAAGTGATCAAAATGATTAATGATAATGCCTAGAAGATGGATTTTTGAGGTGAGTATAATGTAGTTACTACTTTCAATATTATTGATCTTCTCTCTTTAATGGAGGTCAAGATTCGAGAACGAATTTTCTTGAAGAAGAAGGGAATGATAGGATCCATGGAGGGCAACAAACTTACAATGATTTTGTTCAACTTGAAGAGGAACCAATGACGATCGCGAGCAAATATGAACAATGAAGCCATGCATTTACTTGTTCAAGCTATAGAGGCAAAGACTTTGAATTTAACAAGCCAAATACCAAATATCATGTTTGGGCATAAAGCAGGAAACAAGTTGGATGCATTGCAATCAAGAAAACAAAATTGGAAGCTAGTCGGATTACTATGTTGTCCCATGTATAAAACAAGATGCTATAGCATGTACTAATCTCGAAACAAATAAGTGGAATTTTGGTTGTTCTGCTGTCGCAAAAGTTATAACTATGCGATAGTATAATTCATTCTCGGAAAGCATTTTTCAGATTTTCTCTAGAAGTCTATTTTTGGCAGAAATTTTGTTATGGTATCTTTTTTATATAATTTCGTTTTAATTATGTTTTTATGGGTTCCCTATAAATATGATTTATTCTTTTCATTGTAAAAACACACAATTTTAGAGATATTATTGCGAGGAATATTGTTTTCAACTCGTTATTCATTGAATTAATTCTGAACTTATTAAGAATTAAATTGTCGTGGCGTTCAGCAATTTAATTAAGGTTCATAAGTTTTGTGATCACGGAATCAAGATATTGTTGGCGATTGTCTTAGTTTTTTTGTTCAATAATTTATTAGGTCGAGTTTGTCAAACGAACTATCTTGGATTTGATCTAATCTGTCGTGTGTTTCATATGTTCATTTGTTACTTGGGTTCGCATCAATAGTGTAAAGAGGATGGATAATCTTCACGATTTGTAGAATGAGATTTTAAATTGTTGTGACAACTTCTCACAAAAACTAAACGGGCACACATGACCAATGTTTAATATTAATGTTAATATTAACCGCTTTGTAGTACTACTGATAGGATGAATCGGGTTCCAAATAATAATAATTGTCCATTACATTTTGAGTGGTTAAGCGATACACCAAGTAAACTCACGATGTTAATGTTAAATTTGTAAATAAATTGAAGAAAATGAGATAAGTATTGAGAAATATTTTTTTATTTTAAAGTAATTTATATGCATATCATAAGTATTCATTATACGTATAATATTTGCTTAATGAGCGTTATCTCATCCCATGTTATTCCTCCCAATTTTCAGATGATAAAGGTAAGATTATTCCAAATAACAATTTGTTGTGATAGGACTCGGTATTATCAAATGTAATTATTGAATTCGTTTTATAAATAAAATTAACATTCAATTCAATTGTCTTGTATTTTTATTAAGCACAAATTATTTTAAAATTATAAGTTTTTGTTTATTATAGAGATTGTTTGGTTGAGATTAAAATCAGATTAAAATTGAAAAATTAACCGTTATTGTTGACTTTTATTAGACGAGTGGAATCCAATAACGACTAAATTTTCAATTTTAATTGAATTTTAAGCCTAATCAAATATGCTCTTGTCGAAAAAAAATTACGTAGTCTTTTTGCATTTGACTTCTGGAAAAAATCAAATGATGAGAACATATTTTAATGGCTGTCAAAGACACCACATTCATAACGTTCCCTTGTGGCACCCAGACGACAGCTATATAAAATGCACAGCGAGGTAAATCTTCTTTGAAAACCTACCTCTCTACGTCTTACATTTATACCATACGGTGTCGTTTCGGGCGGTCTCTGCTTGTCGGCGATCAGCGATTTCGTAACTCCCTTCGTCCGGTAATAACTCCTTCCCCGTTCCCCTATATATTTTTCATTTACATACAATATGTATGTGATGTATATCTGTAGTGATTTCTGTAGTTTTACTTATTATATAGTTAAATCAAAATTATATACCATAATATTTGAGATATGCATTTTCGAGTAAAGTAAGAATTCATGTGTTTGGCTTTCTTTTTTCCCATTTATAGTTATTGCTATTGTCTACGGATAGGTTTTCATAACCTAGTCAAGAAACTTGGGCAGACTGATTTGAAATGTATGTTATTACTTCCTGAATTAAAGGCTTGTTAGACCATCATTTTGCATGCTTTAATAAAGTTATTTGAAATGTATGTTATTACTTCCTGAATTAAAGGCTTGTTAGACCTTCATTTTGTGTGCTTCTAATAAAATGCTCATAAGATTTTTATCTAATGGTTTGGTAGAGTTTAGCCAGACATATTCCCATTCAGAAAAACAGTAATGGGTGGCGGTCCAGCTCCATTTTCAGAAATCGGCAAGCGTGCCAGAGGTGAATATTTAATCTATGTTATGTATTTTGAATAATTAGCCTGTGTCCCTATTTACATAAATCAATTGGGTTAGACCTTTTTTTCTGGATCCCAATACAACAACTTAATGTAAATGTTTGAGTTTCTATGCTATTGGAATGGTTGATATTAGTGGTTAAGTTCAAGAGTATCTAAAATATCAAAACTATGGGTAAGCCCAAATGGGTGAAATCCTGTTTGAAATATTAATCACGTGCAACATGTTCTGCGATTCACCATTATGTATATCCACTAATTTTTTTTCCCTAGAAGAATTACTACAAGTGCATTGTTTTATGATTGACTGATGGGCTGTTAAAAGGAAGCATATTTCATAAGATGGTTGTAGCAAAAATTGTGAATGTAATATGAATGTTGACAAATAAACAGGTCAATTTCAGCAAGAGCAATGAAATTTGTTAAAATTTTCAAAACAGTCATTGAAGTATTTTCCTTACAACAGTAGACACTCAAGTTTTTATTAGTCACACTAATGATCACTCGATTTAAAACTTTAACAAAAATCTTACATGGCATTATTAAATGACAGCATGAACACAAAAAATTTAACCATTACACCAGGGATGGAGTCAGTTTTAGACTAAAAAATCTTTTAGGATGGGCTAATATATGAAAATAAAAAAAATAAAAAAAAAAAATCCACAAATATTTTTTTCACAAAAAACTTTCACATAAAAAAGTAATTGGGCTGTAGCCCAGGCTAGCCCCCAATCCGCCCATGCATTATGCCATGCCACACCACATATAATCATAAATTTATAGAAATTAATAAGAAAAGTTAAATTGATATCCCTGTTTATGTAATGCGTTCACATCTAAACTTTTTTTTTTATTTTCCTATGTGACTGCTTTTTTTTCCATATGAACGTTATGTGTAATACGTTTGATTGATGTGTTATCTAGTTAACGCCTTTTATTCCACCTTGGCATTTAACAATGCCACTTAGAACTTTTGGTACTTCAATGACCATTTTGAAATTTTTAACAAACTTCAATGACTGTTGTTCTAATTAACCTGACATTAAACTAATAAGATAAGAAATAGGATCATGCAACTATAACTGGGGTAACACTAATTGGAGATAAATTAAGGGATGAGTTAGGTGGTTGACGCATGTCTTACTTAGACCTAAAGAAGTTCTTTTTTACAAAAGTGACGTAGTCCAACTAGAACATGCTAGAAGAGATATAGGTAAACCAGAATTAATATAGCTTCATCTATTGTATATGAGTGTGTCCTAATGTTTTCAGAATAGGCTAACTGGCCAAAAGAAATTTGGTTAAACGAGGAAAATCATAAGTAAATTCTTGGCAACTTTATATATAATAGTACCTGTATCATTATGTCTAGTTGGTACCAATCTGCTTCGAAAAGTTGCATCTTACAAGGAAACTAGAAAGGACAAGAATCCAGATTCAGAAAACTCGAGCACATGCCCTAAAATTATGAGAAGTTATAAAGATTTCAGAAAAGATTACACCATTTTATGTGTATATGGTTCTATTTGAGTTCATGTGGCTAATTAGGACTGCTTTTGAGAGAAGGTTGTATTACAGGCTGGAGGTCAGGTTGAGGAGTATTCACAGAGAAGATGTTTCTACCTACAGAACTTGTAGAATGTTTCCCTGTTGAATTTTCTAAAAAATTTTGCTACATTAATTTCCTGAATCCTGTCATTTCTGAAAGCTAGGTAGAATTTATGTTGAGTTCCTAATTTTGATCCTTCAAACTGGTGTGGGTGAAGGTTTGTTGTATGAAGTAGGTCACAAGAATTTTGAGCTAATAATGTTCGAAAAGATGGTTTTGGATAGGTAGCAGCAATGTTCCAAAATATGGCATTCCATAATTATGATGGCATTGGAATTAGGTTCCCAATTTTTCCTCTCAACTTTTGGGGATCCCAAACTTCCAACTTCTAACTTTTAGTTTTCTAGCTTTTGTTTGTAAGGGGAAAATTTCTGTACTGCTGTCTTTTTGTGGTCTGACATTACTGTTAGTGAACTACAAGACAAGCTCTCCAAATATGAGATTCAAATTCTATGTTTTCGTGGAGCATGTGATGTACGAGCTTCGTACCTTTGGTTGCCTACATGTCTAGGATTCTTTTTTTCTTAACCATATGCTCACCCTCATGCTCTTCCACTACTCTCTTGTGTGTATTGTGTAAGAGATTTTCCCTCAAAAGAGCAGCAAAAGAGCCTTTTGATTATTCTTCTCACGTAGATATACTCAATGCATCGATGTTTGTTTTTATTCATGATCTTCAATGTAACTCATTTTTTTCCTCAGATTTTATGAATAGAAAATGCTACGTTCTTTTGGACTGTCAATGAACCAAATTCTATATATTTGGAATCATTTATATTTTGAATTGATAAATATTATTATGCTAAATTGTTTGGCGAAGATTATCTTGCTTGTTGTCATGAATAAGAACTCAAGATTTAGATATCACTGGTGTAAGATGATAATCTAAAATAAATGTAGGATGTGAGCCTTTTATTGTTGGAGTTTTAATCGAGTATGTTCCTTATGCTGGATTGAAATCAATTGCTTGTGCTCTTACCTTTTCATCCCCACTTGTGGGTTGTTAAATAATGTTATAATGGCCCTTTCATAAAGGAGGATGGTTGGGACCCAGGACATCAACTTTTTAAGAGTACCTTAATCTGTATGGAGGGAGGAAAGAAATTCAAAAGTTGCAAAATTTCAAGTCAGTAGCATATCAATATTGGCACTTGAGCATTGTAGAAATGCAACAGTGTTTTGGATGTATATGTAGTTGGTGCTGCTGCTTGTCTGTAGTTATTTTTATCTGCTGACTGCCATAGGTTAGAAATGGTAAGTGCTTAAGACTTAAAAGGTCTGAATTAACTACTTAATAAACTTCTTCATTAAATTAGAATTCTCATCATTATTCACCAAATGCCTCTTGCCTATGTTTGATACTTGTTAGAGCCTGGAGGTGAAGAATTATCAGGGTAGTTAAACAAGTCAAATTTTATAAGTCCCCCCTTTGGTCCCCATTAAAATTATAATTCATTTTTCTTTCTCTTCTTATCAACCACACATTCTCCAATAAAATAATATTACATGTAAATCAAAAACTTTTCTGTTATTTTAATCACATTCTTAAAAAAATCACTATTCTAAAAATTATAATCTCAAATAATGGGGGTCAAACGGGGGCTAAATGTGTTTCCATCTTCATGGAAATTAGATGAAAGAATGTGTCTGAATCTGGAGCCGCATGTTTGGAGGATGGGATTTGCAATTTCTTTGTCATTATGCTTTTCTATTTGCTTAAGTTGGATTTTATTTTTGTTTCTGTTTACCTTTTTCCGTAACTTTTCCAATCTCTGAGAACTGCAACAGCTCCTGAATTGTAATCGTTTGAAGGTGTATTACGGCTGTCATTTGAAGATTTACTATCTCAATTATGTATTGCCCTTTTCAAATGCATTACCAAAAATGTTATTCTCCTGCATCTGCCTTTTTAATTTTCCTTTTTTTGAATTATAGACTTTCTCACTTTGATGTGTTATAAGACCTTCTATTATGATCAAAATAAGTATCTATTCGTATTGATTGTAAAGTACTAGTTTTGTTACAGATCTTTTGACCAAAGATTATAACTATAATCAGAAGTTCTCCCTCACAATTCCCAGCTCTACTGGAATGGTATTAAGTTACTGTAAATTACTGCTGCATGTCTTTTTCCTTTGTTTATTTTTACAATTTTATCATGGTCTACATATGCTCTTAAATACTTCACTTGACATGTGAAATCATGGAGAAATTCACGTTTCTACTGTTTCGAAATTATTCTGATATGCGATTGATTCTTGATAGTTTCTTATTTTGATACTTAGAGATGGTGGCTTTAAGAGTATTGAACAGATTGGAAGCTCCTTGCTTTGATGATTTAAGTAAAAACTCAATAGTCTACTACAATGCAATTTTCTGGTGCGATTGAAATACTAATAGAAGAAAAAAACTAAAATATATGCAATAGATCCTGGAGATATTTCTACTCTGTTTGCTTCTGTGTTCCTGAAGTGAAAGGAAAGAAATACAATTTCTTAAAAGTTACCAGGACAACATCATCATTTGAGCTGCAAGCTGGATGGTCCTCTCTTCTGAGATTCACATGTTGCATAGTAAACCATGCTGGACGACTATAGAACTTTATCATGAAGCTCTCAATGTATCAGAATGATTTTCTGAAAATAAGGAGATTTTATTGAACATTTGGGGGGCTGTTTGTTCGATGCTGATGATAGTTCTTCAGAAAAAGTAAGAAGAAAAGAGTAAAGGAGATAATGTGCATCTCACCCTTGCAGGGTTAGGCAAATTCACCGAACAACATATGAACTTCTAACTATGGCTAACTCTATTTATGCAAAGAGAAATGTACAGGTATTTATAGCCTCAAACGACTTCTCTGGTAGGAACAAGGACTAGGCCAAATGGCAAACCAAGATAGCTATGATTATTCTAAATTACCAAGATTTTTTTCTAAGCACTTTACAGGTATAATAAAAACCAAAGTGAGACTCTTGGTATAGATATTTCCCGTGTTCATAAATTACTAGAAGACAAAATAGCATTGATGCTGAAAATTAGAAATCCTAAAATTCAATCTCACAAACACAAAACAAAATATGAAGTCAGCTTTAACTCCATCAAAATGGCCATCGTCCCTTCCGCTCTGAAACACCAAATATTCTTTCTTGTTGAGTATATGTTCCAGATCAGCAAGATAATGTAAAAGAATGCTCTATGATCCGAAATTATATGTCAGCATTCTCCTACTATTATTGCTCTGTGTTAAATATTTGACATTCCTTATTCACGATACTTTAACAAGCCATTACAGATCTTCATCAAATTATTGTTGTGTTATACTTTCCAATCAATTTTGTTCCTGCAGAGCTCAAGCAATGCTATGTATTTTGTGTAAAAATCTTAGAACTGTGTGATTTATGTAAACCACTGTTGTATTCTTTTGGCAGGGACTTACAGCTATTGGTGTAAAAAAGGATAATATATTTGTTGGTGACATAAGCAGCCAATATAAAAGTGGAAATACTGCCGTGGATGTGAAAGTTGATACCTATTCTAACGTAAGAAAATATTCTTGCCAATGGGACTAAATGAATTGGTCTTTGTCTGTGCAGTTGGTTATTTTGAATTGTTTTGTGATTAATGGAAGATTCTCGTTCTCCCCTTAGCACCCCAGTAGATTCTTTTTTCTCTGAATGCCTATCTACAATATTATCTAAGGCGATATTTTTGCAGGTCATAACCAAAGTAACTATAACTGATCTGCTGCCTTCTACAAAAGCTGCAGTTAGCTTCAGTATTCCTGACCAAAAGTCCGGCAAGGTTAGCGCTCTGTGATTCAGCAGTGCAAGTACTAAAAGATACTTGTGTTGCAATATTTATGAAGGTTGTTCATATATATGATGAGTTCTCTCTTCATTAAGTTTATCTTTTCCGAATGCAAAAGAGAAAACCTTGTAGCCAGCCTATATGATTGAGTTACAACACAGGATGTTGATAAGACCAGTGTCAAATGATGAGAATTTTCTGAAAGATTTGTGTATTATTTACTGTTGGCTTTTTCAAGATTGTATCTCACTTTGCTTTTATCCTACAAGACAGAGAATGTTCTTCTGTGCCCCTTTGCTTGTCTAAGAAAATGGGAGAGTGCTGCATATCTTTTCTGGGATCAAATTCTGATTTAGTACTTTTTACTCCAAAAAATTAGGATTTGGTAATTTATTAAACTGATATGTTGTATATCGAAACCAATAGATCTGGGGAAATCCTGAAAACTTTGTTATTCTTTTATGCATTTTCAGCTTGTTGTGGACTATGCTCGTGATGGATCAGCCATCAACTCCAGTATTGGACTGAATCCAACTCCTCTTTTGGAGCTTGCTGCTGCAATTGGCTTCAGTGATGTAGCTTTCGGTGGTGAAATTGGATTTGATACAGCATCATCATCTTTCACCAAGTACAATGCTGGAATAAGTTTCAACAAGCCAGATTTTTCAGCAGCATTAATACTGTATGAGTCAAAATTCCAATTGTCAATATATTCTCCTTTTCCCCCTGCCACATTTGGTTTCTCCATGTTGATCTATTTATATGTGACACGTCTCTGTTGCAATCATTTTCCCTTCTTTTTTATTTTTATTTTTTCCCTAGCTGCATTTTGAAATTAGAAGTATGTCCTATCTCCGTGTTTTTAAAGCAAGCTTTGAAGCATTTTCTTATTCCGTAATTCAATTTGCAATTGCATAGGACGGACAAGGGACAAACGTTGAAAGGTTCATACATTCACTTAGTAAACCCATTGAGTGGAACCATGGTTGCTGCTGAGATGACACACAGATTTTCTACCTTCGAGAATGGTTTCTGCATTGGAAGTGTCCACAAGGTTGATCCTGTCACCATCGTAAAGACTAGATTCGCCAACAATGGAAAGGTTGCTTTATTAGGCCAGCGGGAATGGAGGCATAATTCTCTTTTAACAGTTTCGGCAGAGTACGACACAAAGGCCACCAGTGCCACACCTAAGTTAGGCCTTGCCATTGCTCTCAAGCCCTGAGTTTATTGAGCTTCATTTGAAACTCATAACTTAAATACAATTTGTTTACAGCGAAAGAGGCTTAAATATTCGCGATCATCCCCCGGAGGACCGGGAAAATCAGGCCATACATGATCTATTATGACAACCTTAGAAGAATTGTTACGAGAAAGTTGGATATTTATCGGACAGGGTTGCCATGTATGGCAAAAAGTACTTTGTTTTGGTCAAGGATCTGTTTAGCCCATCTCTTGGAACTTGCAAATTATTATTATTGAGCATAGAGTTTCGGTGCAGGCATTAAATTTTGATTTGCTAATAATGATTGTGGTATTTGACATGCAAATGTTTTACTTTTAAGATGCTAATTAGTTTTTTATGGAATAATGTTTAATATATTAAATGTCATATTTACTTAGTGTATTTTATTGACTTTATTTTCTATAAAAAAAATGTCGTTTTTCCTCCTAAATTCATTCTTTTGGGGTATTTGATTAACCATTTTTTTCGACTTTTGTTCACGTAATTATATTTTCTTTAAAAATAAGGAAAACATTTTCTCTTATGACTTTTATTTTTCAGGTAATTTCTCTCTGTCTCTTTCTCTCATTTACTCATCTATCTATCAATAAAAAATACACAAGTATAATATTTTTTTAGGTTGAAAATTAAATTAATCAAACACATTTAATTGATAAGTTTCATACAAATAAGTTTTAAATAATTTATTTTCTTTCAATATAAATTTCACGATCTCAATCAAACGCACCCTTAATGTTGTTCAAGTAACCTACCAAATTGTTAGACAAAATTTGTTCAATGACTTACTTTTCTCGAAAATGAAGGGGCCGTTCTCTTGGCCGTTTTCAAATTGTTTTTTGTTTTCGATTTTTCAAAACGGTGAAAACGCGTTCTCTTACTCATTTTCGAAAACGGATATTCAAAAACACAAAAAAAATAAAATTGTGAAGACAACAGAAGACGGCCAAAAAGCCGTTTTGGGCGTTTTCTTACAAATGCAGCACCAAGTTGAAAAACACGAGAAACGGCTAAAACAATTCCTCCTTTCGCCAAAACACTTCTTCCTTTCTACTACCAAGCCGCACTCCACCGCCACTTTCCAAGCTCCTGAACTCCCAAACAAAGAAAGAAAAATGTGAAATTACAATGTGTGATCGAATTTTGACTCGGGTGGATGCGATCTACAAGAAGTATGACAAATACGACATTGAAAAGCAGAAGGATTCCAACATCGCCGGCGATGACGCATTTGCCCGCCTTTACGCCGCCTTAGAGTTCGACATCGAGGCTGCTCTTCAGGTATTAAAATTACTCCGGCGATGACGCATTTGCCCGCCTTTACGCCGCCTTATAGTTCGACATCGAGGCTGCTCTTCAGGTATTAAATTCTTTTGAATCTATTTGAAAAGTACTACTGGAATTTTGATTGTTTATGTTATATTACTTTGATTTGGCAGAAAGCGGAGATTGGTTCGCAATAGAAGAGTAGGACGTCAGCTTTGGTGATCAATGCGGAGATTCGGAGAAAGAAGGCCCGGTTGTTGGACGAGGTCCCTAAATTGCAGAGATTAGCTGTCAAGAAGGTAAGATTCATCGTGATTTCTTTTATTCTCTTAGTAGATTCTGTTTCCCAAGTTTTTTTTATTCAATTTGGTGAGCTATATTGAATTCAATTACTGCATTGGTCATACTTTTTGTTTAAAATTATTTATTACCTTAATTGGGTCTGTGATTCCCTTAATTGGGTATGTGATTATCCAGAAGGAGTTATCTGTCTCTCAGTTGATGACTGGATTGATAGAAACTGTGATTATTTTGCAGACCTTACTCCCGAGCTTAGGAACACTTCTCTCCAGCTTCTGGGCACTTGCTATCCAGTTGTATTTCCAAGTGTTAATGGTAATTTTGAAATTTCTAGTATTGACTTTTAGCATATGAAAATGTGACAAGGAGGATAATTCAGGTTAGTATGTTACTGTCTTATTATATGTGGTTCATTGATGTTTCTGTTCCTCCAGTTTAACACCAAATTATGTTTGGTTAGGAGCATTGGACATAAAATCTTGTTCACTATATGTTATAGGCATTCATTTGCTGATACTATCTTTTAATTTCCCGTTGTCAGTTTATTGGACCTGCCAACTTATTGCTCGTGTATCGAATGTGTCTATGAGGCATTGGCAGCAAATAGGTGGAGTGAACATCATAGATGAAATTACAATTGACAAAGCCATCCACAGATCCATTAACTCTCGGTTAGCAGTCCTAAAGGTCGACTGGACAACTATGCTTCATTTATTGTTTGTTGTGTCTAGACCAACAATCAGAATCCTTTGACCATGTCTGAATTGTTCCATCCTCTAGAAAAATAGTATGGATGTTGATTATCTAGTTATTTGTCACAACCCAAGCATTAATCCCGAGGATATGTTCCCATCAATTATGACTTCCCTCATCGGTTAATGTACCTCGGGCATGATGGTCCTCGAGCACATGATATGACACGCCATAATCATAGACCTTGTCGGGATGTCTCCTCGAAAATTATGTTTGCCTGTTAGCTTGGGACATCCTCGAGATCGTGCCTTAACCTCGCATCTGACAACTCCTGTTTCATTATGGACTCTCCAATTAGATATAACTTATCTAGTTACAAAGAAGTTGAATCCTACTGTTCGTAGTCTACCTAGGAAGGACTCAATCAATAGAGTTCTATCCCTGTTCAAACACCTTTATGGAACAACATCGATCAAGTTATGCCTTCAAAATGTCATATGACTCAGGGAAGTTCGAATAACCTAGTCCTACTATGAAAGTACTACTTACCACTATAAATATAGCACCCTAAGTCATTATTCAGGTACGTTTTTACACCATTCTCAACATATCTCTTTTCACAAATTCCCTCTCTGACTTAAGCATCAGATGGGCGACGAAAACACGCCTCGACACCTTTATTTTAGGTACCGAAGACCTCGTTCATGCTCATTCTCAGTCGTCAAGCTCGGAAGTCAACATGTACGATTTTTGGTAGCATTATTTGTCGTACTCCGTCTGTGAGAAACGCTACCAAGAGCCATGGTTAATACGCGTTCAGATCTTCCTTCGGCAAATTCATCCACTCCAAACCCGCCTCTTGTAGTTGATCCCCCTCATCATGAAGAAGAATCATTAGAAATACCAGCTCCCCCACCAACGGTAATTACCATAGGAGCGTTTGAAGAACTCCATCAACAAGTTGACACGCTAACTCAATTGCTAAGTGAAAGGAATCCTCATCCGATGCAAGCACAAGAACCAGCACCAACACCTGCACCTCCGGAGGTTTCATGGCGATGCTCGAGCTCGGGACACTCACGACATTCGCAATAATAGCGGATCTAGGGCCTCGAGCGTACCTCTAGCAGCTTCGACCTCGAATTGGTCACGATGGACTCAAGAGAATTCGCTAAGCTCATACAAGAAGGAATTGCAGCTGGTATGCTTCGGAATTCACCTCAGAGATATTGTTGTACCCATTGCCAGACATATTCAAGTATCCCCGCATAAAGGAGTACGACAGAACTACAAATTCGACCAATCATCTCAACATATATACTGATGTCATGAATCTACAGGTGGCCCCAAATCCCATGATGTGCAAAGCTTTTCCCCAAACTCTGATTACTGCTGCCAGGGATTGGTTCTCTACCCTAGAGCCCAATTCCATAACTTCATTCTCCGAGTTGGGTGCAAGTAGCAAACGCATCAAGAAGACAGCAGCTTCCCACATGTAGCTCCGTTAGGGCCTGAATGAATCCATGCGTAACTTCATGACCAAGTTCAACAAGGACTTCAGATACCCGATCTCCATATCACATCAGCAGTCATTACCCTCACATATGCCATAAGATGTGAGGCATTTAGAATTTCCCTGTCAAAAACTCTGCCGAAGTCAGTGACTGAGCTCCTCAATCGAGCTGAAAAATATATTAATATGGATGAGACATTGAATCCGAGGAGAACTCCTCATCTGACCTCGGAAAAGCCCGAGTACAAAAGACAACATGATTCAAATCCCCGTACCGAAGATCCTAGGAATAAACAGAGACAAGAGACACAACCGACAACATTCACCCAACTGAACACTTCTAGATCTAACAACTGATGGGGGTTAAGGATATGAATGAGCTTAAATGGCTAGCAAGGATGCAGTCCCCTCCTAATACTAGAGATAAGACCAAGTACTGTGACTATCATTGAGATCATGGGCATACAATGGAAGATTGAGGCGTTAATCAAAAGGGGGTTCCTAAATACATATGTCAACTATCATAAACGACCAAGGAATCATCGTGACAAGATAAAAGGTCCCGATGGAAGGGGAAACGACAAGCCCACAGTAGTAATCATTGCCTAGAAGTCTTTAATAGTTAGTCGGGCTTGCAGGCCCCGCGTTTTTTTTTGGTGGTCGGGCTTGCTTGTCCCGCGGCTTTTATTTTTCTGGTCAGGCTTGCATGCCATGCGTCTTTTTATTTTTTATTTTTTGCTTGTTGGGAATACATGCCCCTCGTCTGCTTTTGATTATCGGGTCTGCGTGCCCATATTTAGTGCTAATGTAGGATAAGTTTGTTTAGTTGAAATCGGGATCATATCCTAGTAAAGACCTTTTTATTTCAAGGCAACCATCTCTGAGCCTTGCCCAGTGCAAGCACCTCTAAGCCTTGCCCTACGCAAGCAAATCAAAGCCTTGCCCCACGCAAGTATCTCAAAGCTTTGCCCCATTCAAGCAACTCAAAGCATTGCCCCGCGTAAGCATTTCAAGCCTTGTCCTATGCAAGCACCTCAAGTTTTACCCTCAGCAAGCACCTCTAACTTTGTTTTACACGAGTACCATAAGCCGTACCTCGAGCAAGCACCATAGGCATTGCTCCATACAAGCAAACTTACAAATATTTCATAAATTGAAGTAAATTAATCCCAGAAAACCACCAAGTAAAATGACCGACCACATAACACCGAAGACTATAAAGCATCGTATGTAAAAATTTTAAATCAAGGTCAGGGTCGAGCTCCTTCCTTATCTTTAACAAAGTCATGGTCGAGCTCATTCCTTATCTTTAACAAGGTCGGGGTCAGGCTCCTTCCTTGTCTTTAACAAGGTCGTGGTCGGGCTCCCTCCTTGTCTTTAACAAGGTCGTGGTTGAGCTCCTTCCTTATCTTTAACAAAGTCGTGATCCAGCTCCTTCCTTATCTTTAACAAGGTCGAGGTAGGGCTCCTTGTCTTTAACAAGGTCATGGTTGAGCTCCTTCCTTACCTTAATAAGGTCGGGACCAACCCCCTTTAAAATTTTTAACATGATCGAGATCAAGCCCCCATTCCTTTAAAACTTTTAAAATGGTGGTGACTAGCTCTAGATCTATATGCTCAGGGGCCTATTAACTTGCCATGAGCAAGCCGACATTTAGGCATGAGCATGCCTAATCCTTGGCATAAACATTTCTAATTCTAGACATGAGCATGCTTACTCCTTAGCATGACCATGCCTAATCCTCAAGGGTGATCATGCTCGTTCTCAAGGCTGATCATGCCCATCTCAAGGCAGGTCATGCATATCTCAAGGCTGATCATGCTTATCACAAGGTAGGTCATACCTATCTCAAGGCAGGTCATTCCTATCATAAGGCTGGTCATGCCAGTCCTCAAGGCTGATCATGCCCGTCCTTAAGGCTTCCCTTCATCACGGCTGCTCATGCTCATCCTCAATGGCTAATCATGCCTGCCTATCTCAGGGCTGTTCATGCCCGTCCTTAAGGCTGATCATGCCTATCTCAAGGTTGATCATGCCCAATCATCAAGGCTGATCATGCCCATCTCAAGGTAGGTCATTCCTATCACAAGGTAGATCATGCCCATCCTTAAGGCTGATCATGCCCATCCTTAAAGTTGACCATGCCTAATCCTCAAGGCTAATCATGCATATATCAAGGCCGTGTCTAACCCTTAGCAGGCATGACCATGCCTAATCCTTGGCATGAGCTTGCCTATCACTTGGCATGAGCATGTTTACTCCTTGACATGATCATGCCTATTCCTTGGCATGAGCATGCCTATTGCTTGGCATGGTCATGCCCATCCTTAAGGCCGATCATGCTTGGATAAAGGTTGATCATGCTTATCCTGAGAGTTGATCATGTTTATCTCAGGGCTAATCATGCTTATTTACGTGACTCCTAGCTTCTTCGGCTGCACGTTCTTAAGAGAAATGTGCATCTCATCCAAGAAATTCACTCATGGGATGTCAGCATCTGGCATGGATGCACGGGGGCCAATGATTATCCAGTTATTTGTCACAACCTGAGCATTAATCCCGAGTATATGTCCCCATTAATTATGACTTCCATCCCCGGTCAATGTACCTCGAGCATGATGGTCGTCGAGCACATGATATGACACCCCATAATCATAGACCTCGTCGGGATGGCTCCTCGGGAATTATGTTTACCTGTTAGCTTGGGACATCCTCGAGATCATGCCTTAGCCTCGCATTTGACAACTCCTATTTCATTATGGACTTTCCAATTAGATAGAACTTATCTAGTTACAAAGAAGTTAAATCCTATTGTTCGTAGTCCACCCAGGAAGGACTCCATCAGTAGAGTTCTATCCCTGTTTAAACACCTTTATGGAACAACGCCGATCAAGTTATCACTTCAAAATGTCATAGGACTCTGGGAAGTTTGAATAACCTAATCCTACTAGGAAAGCACTACCTACCTCTATAAATATAGCACCCTAAGTCATTATTCAGGAACGTTTTTACACAATTCTCAACATATCTCTTTTCACAAATTCCCTCTCTGACTTAAGCATCGGAGGGGCGACGAGGACCCACCTCAACGCCTTTATTTCAGGTACTGGAAGACCTCGTTCGTGCTCATTCTCAGTCCTCAAGCTCGGAAGGCAACATGTACGATTTTTGGTAGCATCAGATATTATTGGCCAATTGGTATCACCCTTTGGTGGTGATATTCTTAAACAACTTTGTGCTTATTTGTGAACAATATCAGAATATAGTATAATTTTTAAATTTTTGGTGAAAACTAGGTGAAAAAATGCAATTTGATTGTTATCTATTGTATGGCTAAAAGGCTAGACAAGTTTTTAATTATAAATTAGAGCTTGTTATTTAGCTTGCTATAAATATTAGTATTAATGGGGTGTATTGCTTGTTTGTGGAGGACTTGTGCCACTGTTCTTATCAGTAATCTGGCTTTTGATGAGCTGTCATTTTGTTGTTGGAATGCCATGGATAACTGTCATTCTTTTTAATATTCTCATAATATCAGTGACAATGTTTTATTACTTGAAAGGTTTATCGACAACTATGCT